CCCCTGGAAGCAATAGCTCAGATTACTTCTGAACTCTTTAGAAGAATATTTCTGAACTTCTGGCAGACTGTGAAGCTGGTGCCAATGCAAGTGACCTCTTGGACATTATAGCTCACACTATGAGACATCTTAAAACACAATGGGGCTCTCCTATTCCTGGACCCCGTGATGTATGCATCAACAAAATTCCCTGGGTCTCAGGACCTTCTCTGTCCTGGTACTTGGGCTGATGTGCAATGGGGCTAATTTCTGGTAAGCAAAGGAGACTAAAAGATGCCCAGCAAGGCAGCTCCAGATGGATAGTCAGCATTGATTGGGAGGAGGTGGCAAGACTGGTTACATTTCCTACTTTGTGCTTGATCTTTGGCTTGGTCCATTCACATACATGCTTTGCCAATTTGGAAGCATGCTAGTAAAGTAAACTCATTTATTTGATGACTCAAATAAGAGCTTGGTACAGAGAGCCATGAAAGGGAGCTATAAACAGAGGGGGAAAATAAATCAAAATTCTTTTACCCCTTCCTTATACTCTAGGAGCTTCTCTTCTGGAGCTGCCATTGTAAACGTCTTTAGTGATTTTTTGGTGTGTGTTTCATTTTTGTGATTCACAGGTTACTGAGGTTGAAAGAAGAACCTAGAGCAGATCGCCTGTTCTCAGTTATCCTCACAAATTTTCTCATTTTTTTCTTCATACAATGAGGAAGCTGACTATATAGCTATTTCCTTAGGGTCTGGAAAAATTCTCAGCACTGCTATTCATGCAGGCAGTAAGTCATTTTCCAATTTTCTTCTCAGCACCTTGTTCTTCAGCGGTAATACAATAATAGTGAGTTGGCTTATAGAATCATTGTACCTAAAGACCTTTGCACTTTAATTACGAATGGTCTGAGTTAAGGAAAGTGTTCATCTAAAGTGGACTCCAGAGAGTATTGTAAAGATTAAAAATTTTTCCAGATTTAAACTATTGGATTTTTCAAGAAGGGCTCCAAATTATACCAGCTGTTTAGTTTTAAGTATAACTCGGATGGTGTTCTGCAGTAGATTCTGGTTTGTACCAAAAAAGTGTCTTCCTGGAAAAAAAAAAAAAAACCTTGAGCTTTTGATTGATTTGTTTTTATTCAGAAAAGCTGAAATGGAATTAATTTTATATGTAGAGAACTGGTCATTGCTTCTACTGCTGACAGTACTACAATAGGCAAAAATGGAACATTTCCTTCTCAACAGAATTTTAGTGAATTGGGAACTAAAGAGCTTATGGAAAATAGCTTTCAAATGATTATTTTTGTTTGCTTAAATGCTTGATTATGATGATTGTAATTCCAGCTATACACAGAAAGAGCATGGGAAAAAAGCTACGCCTGGGCTCCAATTATAGCAAAAAGCAAAGAACACATCACACTTTATAAAATCCAAATGCTCACAGGTTTTTTGAGATTGCTAAGTAAAAAGTAAGTACATTGCTCAGGTTCAGTTTGCATTTTCAGGACCAAGAGTTCTTTCTAAGCTCTCTTTAAAGGACTCACCTTGACTTTGGATCTCAAATTATGAAAGAAATTCTTGCTTTGTATGCAAAGGTTGGCCCTCTGGACTACAACAGGTAGCCTTTACAGGGCAAATAATACATCTTCAGATAGCTCAGGTCCTAGGCACTGGACTCAGTCTGTCTTTGACCCAGTTGGTTTTAGGTGAGATGGTTTCATGATTGCTGTAGATGGGACATCCTCTGTTGTGGCACCATCTACCTAACAGAGCCCAATTGATGGGGAAATTTCACAAAGTAATTTTTCTTATTCTTTACTTGGAAAGTGTGGGATACCTACAGACATATGGTCTCTTTCATTTCTTAGACTGTGCCCAAGACGAATAATGTGAATACACTTTGAAGCCCAGAACCTAAAGCCAAGAATGGTTGGACAGCCATCAAGGAGACTTCAAATAACCTTGGAAGATCCAATGGTTACCATGATAAATTAAAGCTCTGATCTTCTCTGATCAAAAGCAAAACAAATCCAGTTACCTTGGCCCTTTCCCCACAGGTGCAATGGCCCCAGGGATGTTTGGTACTCTGGGAGGCAGTGGAAGTAAGTGGATGTGGCTGGTGGATGACTCCAGGGGCTGGTGAATGGTACCCAGATCATCCGCCACTGGACTTTATACCTTCCTCTGCCTGAAGAGTGACTTACATCATGTGATAATGGTGGTCTATGGCTGGGCTGTCGGTGGTAGCAAACACTGGACTCCAAGGGCTCATGCTCAGGGTTAGTGGGAAGGATGTGTATATAGGGCCCTTGTCTATACCCGCCCTGTTGTAATGCTGAACAGAGCAGCTTGGTGTCGGAGGCCCAATTCACTGCCTCCCAAACAATGGCAGCCAGTGATTCATTGTGCCAGTAACAAGGTTGCTCTGGTACACTTTGACTTGGCTTTTTGTTTCATTCAGTTTCAAAAACGCCTCTGAATCATGCTTTTAAAATGTCCTTTTGTCTTTATTTTTCCAATATGGAAACTCTGCGAAAGACCAAGAACTCTCAGAGACACAGCAAGGTCCCTTCCCATTGATTCTGACTCAAACTACTGTTCCAGGCCTGTTTCACCCTCAGTACTTCCTGTTTCACTGAAAGTTGTCATTCACTTGCATGCTCAAACAGGGGCTTGACCTTTAACTCTTTCTTTTCTCTTCTCCATCATAGTCAGTCAACCACCAATCTATTATACCTTTCAGAGAGTTCTCCATCCATCCTTACACCCATGTGTCTGTCTGTCCATCCATCCACCCACCCATCCACCCATCCATCCATCCATCTACCCACTCACTCACCCATCCACCCATCCATCCATCCATCCACCAACCCATCCTCTGTCCAATACACAGCCACTGCTGCTACCTAAATGCCAATGCCCCCACCTTGGGGAGGTAATACAATGTTCTCCGTGGTCTAGAGGCACTATTGACTGCCTCAGCTCACTGTCAGAGAAGTTCATCTGCAAAGCTGATAAGATCATGAGACTTCTGTGCTTATAATCCCATGAAAGTCTTCTCAAGGCCCTTAGAAGGTAGGTGCCTCAACTACTTAGCCTTATGCAACTGGTCTCTGAGACCTGTCTTCTCCAAAGTAAATGCACTGCTGAAATTTGCCTTTCATTCATTGTCTTCACTTGCTGTTTCTTCCACTGGTGTACAGATTCTGATACTATTTCTGGCTTCCAGAACTCAGTTGAAATATCAAATCCTCTGAGAAGCTTTTCTTCAGCGCCTTTCCTCTGATCTTCTAATGACTGCACCCATTATGACCAGAGGGACCGTGAAATCTGTTGTCAAAACTGTGACACTTACAAGAGAGAAAGGAGTCACTTGTGTATATTATACAAGGACAATGGATATAAACTGTAACTGCCTTGGAAAACCATGATTATGGTCCATTAATCATGGTATTTATGATGCTTTGAATTATGAACAATTGGCCAGGACTTTCCCCACTCTACTTAGAAGACTGCAAGTTTCTTGATGACAGGGTGTAACCTGTTTTCAGTGCAGTTGCTTCCATAGCAGCTACTCAACACGTATTTGTTTAATAAGTGAGCCAAAGGACGAACGTGGCAGAAACAAACAGGAGTCTGATGACGTGGTCCTAGACTCCAGGGTCGGATATGAAACAATGTGTCTCTAGTCACTGCCAACAGGTTTTTCTTTCCCTTTGATGAAGCCCTCAGCCATCACACACAGCACAGAGAAGGGGTGAACCAGACTGCCTTGATGTAACACCCCACTTCTGACTTCCAGACACCTAGCTGAAATTATGCAGAAGGGTAGTTCCCAAAGTATGATGTATGGTGGATAAGCACCTTCAGATAACAGATGTAAGTTACATGACAGATGGATTCTGGGCCCAAATAAGTTATGGACTAAGCATATTTCTTCATTGCTAAGGCCTTTCTAAACAGCATGAAGTAAGTAGTGTTTTTCAAAGGCTCTTGTTCCTTATGCCTTCCCCATCTGCCAGACTTCATGCTCCAGGGAACCTACTTTGAGAATCAGTGTTGCCCCATGTTGTTCAGGTACCACTAGGGCAGTGGTGGTGAACCTATGGCATGCATGCTGCAGCAGGCTGTTTGTATCATTGAATGCCCTAAAGGGTTCGCTGTCATTGCCTGGGTAGTTGAAAGTGAAATCTTTGTATCTTTCAAAGACAGGGCTGTGCTTTATTTATCTCCTTCTAGTGCCTACCTCATGATCTGGCACACAATTGACATTTAAAGGATGTTTGTTGTATGTGGAATAGAATGTCATGCATTCAGTGGAGGACAGAAGATCTCAGGGTGAGAAAAAGTCACGTAACTCAGCCAGGCCAGCAGTGCTCATGGCTGAGGAACAGGGAGGATTCTGACTTGCCTGAAAATGACTCAGGGAGCAGTGAGGTGGATGAAGCCTGCCCTTTGCACCCTGTCATCCTACCTTTGAGCAACTCCCTCCTTGGTTCCACCCCTACTTTCCCAGTGTCTGCTCCCACAGAATTTGCTGTCTATCTCTGTTCAACAAAGTGCTAAATCTGATGACTTAGCTTCATCCAGTGGCATTTGCTTTAGATATTTGCTGCTAAAATCCTTCTGGCCCAGAGAAGCATGGCAGAGTGCCAGAGTGTCAGAGTGTCAGATGTCAGGGTTTATTCTGAGCCTGCTGCTCCCGCCCATCGTGCTTCTTGCTCCGCCCACTTGTGAGGTTGCCCTTGATCGTGTGCCAAACCAGCGTGTTCTCTCCACACACCTAACGGGGATGGTCTGGGGCCTCCCAGGTCAGTGTTCAGAAAGAAAGAGGACACAGTTGCTGAGGTGGAGACATCAACAGAGACAAAGAGAAGCCCAATTTAAAACTACTCAGGAATGCAAGAAAAAGATGCCAGTCAGAAGTTAAATCTTGCTCTCATGGAGCAGGTTTTTAAAAAATCTGTCTTGAAGAATTTTTGCAGTGTCATGCAGCTTTTTTTTTTTTAGTTGTTCTCAGATACCACTCCTTCTTTAAAATTAATAATATATTACAGATTGACGAATTCCACTAAGCAATAGCTGAGTCTTTTATTTTTATGATGTCCCTCTTCTGGTTTAGAGAGGGAAAGAAAGAAGTCAGGCAATGCCACAGTGAAATGTTGCAGCTGGGCCAACTTGAGCTTTTGGATTCCAGCTGGAGAGGCTCTTCCCCAGCCTCAGCTCTGAGCGGCTCTGCATCTCCCTTTGTCCGCAAGGAAGAGTCATCTCTGCGGTCATTCTGGTCTAACCTGCTGCATTGAGTGGTACAGAAATGTGAACCTGGAAATACAGAACCAGAAGACGGCTCTTACTGAGCACAGAGGAGAAGGATCCAGAGCCAGCGGCCTCACCTTTGGATTAGAAGCCCCTCCACCTCACCCTGGCAAGGAACTCAGCTGCCGAGGGATAAATCCCCATAAAGTACAGCCTCACATTACTTCAGCTCAAGTTTTACCTCCAAGTAAGTCTAGTTCTGGTCAAATTTACCACCAAGTGACTCATGAAACACTTTTGGTTTGAGAAAACAGTTGGAGGACCTTACTATTTTCACTGAATAGATGAGTGGACTGATAAGAAACGTTAGGAAGTTTGCCTCAGTTTGTAGACCTGAGATTCGAACCCTACCCAGCCTAGTCTCAGAGACCACTTATAGTAGTAGCTTGGTTCACAAACTCGATTTGTAATAGGAAATGGCTCTCCCAGCCAGTATAGTTCAGTTTCTTAGTTGCCCAGGTAACAGTTCCTGTTCCAATTTTGGTTGCTTCTGTCTCTTAGAAACAGCTGATCACTGTGATTACATTGAATAAACCAATCCCCAACTGACCAGCCACTCTGCCTCTGTACTTCCTGCTTGGTTGTCTCATATAAGCCCCAGACCACCAGAGATCAGAGCCTGATATTCTGGGAATGATCCTGATCAGTGCCCATCAATGTAAATAAGTCTGCCTCCAAACCCTGGGTGTTGTTTTGGTGTTTCTGTTTGCCGTTGCATCTGGTGCATTGGCGGGGGGAAGACTGACTGTGCTGACATCTTTTGTCATCAGCAGTGGACCTCTCTGCTGGAGCAAAGACGTGTCCAAGTCCTGACAGGAAAGCATGCCCTCAAGATTTCTCGAGTCTCCTCAGAGGTCTGGAGGAGAATTCTTGGCTCCCCACTCAAGCGGCTTATACTGGATCCCAAAGGGAGGACACAATCTGTCTGCCTGCCTGCCTGATTCCAGTAAGACCCCCAGAAGCACCCCAATTAGTCAGTCTGTTAGTCCTGCTCAGTTCTAGCAGAAGAAGAGCTTGATCAACTCTTATAGTTAAGGCCTGAGCGCTTGCTGAATGACTGTGTGAGTGAGTGGATGAGTACAGCAGAAGCAATAGGCTGCTCCGTCTGTGCACCAAGACTGGGAAGTACCAGTTGTAGTGGCTGATTGTGCCCTCCCCTGTGGTTCCCTGGTGATCCACATAAGGCATAAGGCAGGCCTCACATCCTTCTTAGCTAAGTTGCTCCTCAGTCCCCTTAAGAGGCATGGCCAGGTGGGTATCTGAATGGTCTCTCGCTGAGGGGTATCCACCCTTTGTCTGTTGCACCATCATTTAAGGGTACACAATACACATGTAGGGAGCCAGAAGTGGGATTTAATTAATCAAAACCCATTGTCCTTGACTACAGGGAAATGGACTTTTATGGAGTTAAAAATGAAAACAAACTGCTCCCTGTGTCTCAAAGAAAAAAAAAAAAGAAAAAGAGATCCATTCTTTCTGAGAATTCTGCCTCAGTAGCCTCATTGGCTGCTGCACTTGCTGCCCATACCTATAGCTTCACTCCCTGCTCCCGATTCATCTACTTCCAGCCAAGTGAACTGGTTCCAGCTAGCCACTGCCCGCTTTCCCTCCAGAATCTTCTGTTTCACAGCTATGCCTAATCCCATCAGACAGCATCATCTAACATCCACCAGTCAAGAGCTTCTCAAAGAGATCGGAAAGGGGGACAAAAAGCCCACTAGCCAGAGTTACCCAGAAACCTGATTTAAAACAAAGCACCTGATGTCTGTAAGAAAATCCAATACAATAGATGACCATATCCTCTGGCTATGGGTTATAAAGACTAAGGAAACTAAAAAATAAATGCCCATTCAGAGTCTAAAAATTTTTTAAAAATAAGAACTCTTAAAAGCTTCAACCTGGATCAGATGATAACACTTTCATCAATCTGATGGGCTCAGACTAGGCCAGACTGGGCTACCTTCTTCAGTTGAGCCACCAGGAGCCCACAGTACCATCACTGGGGCAACAGCAACTCTTCCCTCTTGCCCCTTCTGCCAGGCACAAACTTGCAGCCTGGGAGGACATCTCCTATGTAAGCCAATCACCACACCTCCTCTTCAAGTTAGAAGCAACCATCTCCTTGGCACCAAGCCAGTCAGCCTTAATTTTGATACTGTTCCCCGAGAGAAAGATGATGCCTGAATCAGCCTGAGACAGAAAACTGCAATCCTGAAGTTCTAAAAACTCTCCTCCTAGAGGCATAAACTAAAGACTCACCTTTGGGCCTGGCCACCAACCATGCTGCCTCACTGAGACCCCTGTTGCTGTCAGTTGTCATAGGAGACACAAACAGGCATCCAGCCACACATTGGCCTGGGGGACTGTTAGTCACCTTGGGCAAGATCTCTGTGCTGTCAGCAATGCAGCCATCACCTTCCATTCTGTGCTTCCCAACCCATGCACTCTTTCTGGACTGTTACTCAACTGCCACAAGGGTTTGAAAACTCCCGCTATCTTCAGGGAGGCTGAGACAACAGATTTGGCTGCTTTGAGACAGCCTGTTTCTCTGTCCCTTCTTATTCCACAATTCTGTCACTGTAAACTCTGTCCTGGGGCAACCCCCACCTACATCAAACAGTATTCCATGCCACGAGAGGCTTGGCTAAAAATTCAGGCACACATCCAGAGGTTTCAAAACTGCAAAATGTTTATAGACTGTCAACTTGCTAAAATAGACCTCTTCTGCCTGGAAACCCAATTCAAGACCTCAAAGCTGCCAATGCCACCTCAGTTGCCCTCTACATACATTGCCTCAGTCTTCTGCCACCCATAGACTTCTGGTAAACCTGCCTGGACCTAAAAAAATGTCTTCTTTTGCCCTTGACCAGCTTCTGTCAGTCACCCCCTCTTTGCAACTGACCTGGCCTCAACCTCCCAGGGGTTCAAAAACTTGTTCTCTCTTTAGAAAGCACTTCTGATTAATGACACTTCCAAGATGCTTGCTGGAAAAGCACAAAAGCTCTGCTGAGATATCTGGCAGAAACTGGTTACAAGAAAAAAGCTCCACAAATTTCTTGGAGCTGCTGGGTTCTATAAAATCTGGATCCTCGAGTTCATAAAACAATGAAGTTTACTCAGACTGTCAGTCCCTGGGAGTGCCCAGTGGCCTACCTGTGCAAATACTTAGATCTGGTTGCTAAGGGCTGCCTCCCCCTTTGCCTCTGCACTCTAACAGCCGCTGTCCTTCTGATCAAGAAAGCTGACAAGCTCACCTTAGACTGAGATCTAACTGTCCAGGTGCGACTTCTACATGCTGCACTGGGATGAACTGTTTTGAAAAATGGACCTGTCAGATGCTGAGAACACCCTGTTTACAGATGGAAGTGGATCTGTTAGGAATGAAGTTTGACAGGCTAGGTATGCTGTGGTCACCTTGGACAAAACTATTTTGGCCATAACTCCCCTGCAGGGATGATCTGCACAGCAAACTGCTTCCTGCTGCTGTTTGGAAACCTGTCACCAACAACACAAAATAATCTGATCCAGAGGCCTAAGCCCCCTCCTGGGATCCAGCTGACTGAAATATCAACCCCAGCCAGAAAAACTTTACCTGGTATTCCCAGGAGAGCAGAGCCAGACCTGCCCCCAGCGTTTGTTCTACAAGCTCAAACCACAGTGCTAGCACCTGTACCTCTGCAGCCAGCTCAGGCTTCAGCATCTGTGTCACTGGTCCTGACCTCAGACATTCTAGTGGACTTTCCCCATTTAAAGAGATGTAGATAGATTACACAAAAATAAAACACAACCATACAGAAATAGCTTGTAACCAGTTAAGAGACCAGCTATGCCTGTAGGCACTCCTGCACACACATATAACCCAGGTACATGCTAACTACCTCTACAAGTTTCAGAAATCCAGCCTTAGATCCACTGGTAAATTTACCTGGACAGCTCCTCTGGGGCTCACTTTGAAGAGACAATGTACTCAAAGCCCTGCTCTGGTCACTTTGGACCCTGACCAGTCCATGCACAGCTGAAGCCTGAGGACACCGTGCACAGGACTGCTCCATCCATACCTATTGCCCTTGATTTTTGTCTTTTCAGGCTGCTTATCTCAATCCTTGTTTCCATGCCCCTCTGCTAGCTGTGGTTTTTGTTAATTGATCTGGATTCTGCTTACTCCAGTCCTTGTTTCCTTACCCCTTGATAGCTGTGCCTTTTTGCCTTAAACTCTATGGATGGTTGCCCCAAGAAATAGAACAATCAATCAAACACTTGACCAAGATTTGATGAGCATTCAAGACACATTGGACACTCTCCTAGATCAGATTAACTCCCTCATTCCCTTGCCAGAATAATGTTACAGAACAGACAGGCCTAAATTATGTCTCTTCCTAAAAACAACTTAAGGAAAAACTGTAATAAGATAATCTTAGGGAGCTTGGCTAGGACCCATACTAAGATCACTGACAACCCTAATGTTACTGCTTCTAGTTGGACCTTGTCTTGGAAGATCACATGTAATATGCCCAGCAAAGATTTGCTGTAGAAACTAAAAGAGAGGAGAAATGTAACAAAAAATGCCCCACTCAGCCAGTATACTTTGGTTTCTTAGTTGCCCAGGTACCTGTTCCAGTTCCAGTTGCTACTGTCTCTTAAAAACAGCTGGTCACTGTGATGCACATTGTATAAACCAATCCCCCATTGAGGACCCACTCTGCCTCTGTGCTTCCTGCTTGCTTATCTCATATAAGCCCCAGACCACCAGAGATCGGGGCCTGACCTGATATTCTGAGAATGATCCCTATCAGTGCCCACTGACGTAAATCAATCTGCCTCCAAATCCTGGCCGTTGTTTTGGTGTTTCTGTTTGCTGTTGCAAATTCTCTCCATGATTCTGGTTGCAAACCAAGGTGACCGAGAACAGAATCAAATTTCCGCATAAGGTCAACACTGAACCTAACCATTGAATTTGATTAGATTCTGATCCAACTAGAGTTGTGAACAGAATCATGAAAGAGCTGAATTTGTGAACTGAGGTACCACAGTCTTTTTACCATCTCCTGGGCACACCAGCACCCTCTACTCTCCTGTGTCTATTGAGCAGCTCCTGTAATTGAGGAACATATTAGAACTGCAAAATGAAGCATGTGGATTAGGTGATTCTTATTCTGTGTCTTTAACAGCAAGGGTGGTGTTAGCTGAGGCAGGAATCTGGGGCTGCTTAATGCTGTATCTGCCGGGGGACATAAGAGAAGAAAGTACTTCCCCTGGAGCCCTAGAGCTGTAACTAGAGAGCTCTGACTTCTCTTATTTTTTTTTTTAGTTGGTTGCGGGGGGCCCTTAAATTAGAGAATGTGTAGGTATAAGTCTTTTCCTGTCTGTGTATTGGAGTATGCTCAAGCATACATATTATATGCAGTCCTCTCCCTATATAGCACTGTGGTTATATCAACCCATAAATAAAATATATAGTTGCTAGGTTAAAATGTATCACTTGTCTGCAAGATTCCTCCTGCAGGTTAATGTTTCCTGCCTGGGGAGCTGTCCTGGTTTGCATTGACCTTCAATGACCTACTTGTATGTATTGATTCAGACCTACCTTAACAAGTGGCCTGCTGGATATGTACATCTGCACCTATTCCTCGTTCTTACATTATTTTAGTATTATTCAGCTTCTCTCTGCCCCAAATCAACACTATGTGCATAAAGTTAGCTTTGCAATCACATCTTTACATAAGGAACCTGACATGAACAGCTACTTTGGAATTATCTGGGGAGGGGAGGCTTATTCATGCTGTTTATCATCCTATGGCTTTTCTGTTAGTGGCATAATTGGCATTTCCTTTATAATGGCCCTCACCATCCTCTGTGTTTATGGAAGAGAGGACTTTCAAAATGGAATACGCTCAAGGACTGAGAATCATTGTGCGGGTTCATTTTGTGTTGCTGAATCTGATTTGAGATTGAGGTTGGCAGCTGTGAATTTTAGCATGTTACTGTCAATCACAGGAGCTTATCTGAGTCTTATTTGGCCTAGAATTGGAAATTTTTGAATAATGTGACGCTTAAGCATTGGGTAGTCTCAGAGTCAGAAGTTGACTTAATCACCATGATCAGATTTTTAAAGTAAGAGTCCTACAGTATTTACTCACACTGAAAAATTCCATCTTTCAGCAAAGTCAGTGTTTGAATGCCTTTGCAGCCCTTGTAGGATGCTAAAACACTGTTAAAAGAAAGCATTCAATTAGGGTCCAGAAAATAAAAGAAGAGAAGAAAGAAATTTATAAATCTATTTTTATACAGGTCTGAAAAACAAACAGAACAAATACAATGAGATAATGAAACATAAATTCATAGTAAATGTGATACAGTATACTCAGCTACATCAAGGGCTTGGTGAGTTGAGAATAATTGTGGCTCTTGTATTCTAAATTACAAAAAGTTGGATTAAAAAAATCAATGAAGTATTATCTATGTTCCATTTAATCTTGGTGTTTTAATAATGTCTATGTGGCCAAATATAGTATTGATTTTCCATTGCAGTAGGATTCTCTTAACCTCAAATAAAACTAAGCGAAATTAAACCCAAATCACCTATTTTCTCTCACAATTGGTGTTTACAGTAGGAAGGAACACATTGAATTTAGCAATGGGGGCAGGAAGAGGAAGGGATGAAATAGCTCTGGTTTTCTGTCCACTTTCAACCAATTAGATGTCTATAGTAGGGCAAGGCTGAAAAGTTACTGTATACATTCAGATCTTGACAAGGCAACATACCCAGTACATGTGTAACAGGGCAGCAAAGAAATCAAGCAGAGGAATCTGCTTCACACAAACTTAGAAGTCCCAGTTCCTGTTTTGCATTAATTTTGTGAGAAAATCTACAAGATTCTACAAAGGCTACCCAAATGATCAAAGAAGAGAAGTTCTGACAAGACAAGTGTGAGGGTGAAGGATGGTCAGAGGCTTTGACCAAGCTCCCTCTGAAAGGGTGTGTGTGTTCTGATAACTTCCAATTTCCTCATGTAAATCTTCTAGTCTTATAAGCATAATTCACATGGTAGTGTTGTCATTTTGCAGATGAAGAAACCTGAGTTCTTTGAGATGCTAAATTACTTGTTTAAGGTTACAGAGCTCCCAGCTAGCATGAATGGAATTTCAGTCTTGGTATGCAAATATGCATGTTTTTTTCTACAGAGGAGACACGTAGTAAATAGAATTACTCTCTCAGATAACATTGTCACAAAGATTAATATTTATAATTTCAATTAATATTTGTGGCATAAAAGTTTTATCTGCAGAATGAAGGTATTGATCAAAAGATCATTGTGGCCCTAACTATGATACAATTGAATGATTCTGTATTTATCTAAAGTTGAGGTTATTTCTGGTAGTCTGTGAGCTGAATTAAGTTAGTGGATAACGGTTGTTTTGTCTGTCTGATGTTTTAGCGAAGGTTAAAACTTTTCTGAGCTGCAGAAACAACTCCAAATACACTCAGTCACCTGATCTTTGACAAAGGGCACAGAAGGATAGCCTCTTTAATAAATGGTGCTGGAAAAACTGGCTTTCCACCTGCTGAAGACTAAAACTAGACCCATCTCTATCACCATGCACTTAACTAAAATCAAAATGGGTCAAAGATAGAAATATTAAAGCAGAAACACTAAGTCTGCTTGAAGATAGAACAGGTGAAACTTTTATAGACATAGGTGTAGGCAAAGACTTTATGAACAAAATCCCAATTGCATTGGAACTATCACAAAGAATCAAGATCTTACTATGGGATCTCATCTTATTGAAAAGAGTTGCACAGCAAAAGAAATCACAGAGTGAAAAGACAAACCACAGAGTGGGAAAAAACTTATGTCAGCTGTTCTTTAGACAAAGGATTAATATCTAGAATGTATAAAAAACTGAAAAAAGTTAGATCATTTATATTCAGAGAACAAATCCAAAAATGGGCATCTGAGATGAATAGACATTTCTCAGAAAAAGAAGTACAAATGGCTAATAAATATATGAAAAAATGTGCAACATCACTAGTCATTTGAGAAATGCAAACTAAAACAATGTTGAGATTCCATTTCACCCCAGAAAGAATATTTATTATCAAGAAAACAACCAATAACAAATGCTGGCAGGTCTGTGGGGAAAAAGGAACACTTCTCCATTGTTGGTAGGAGTGTAGGCTGGTGCAACCACTGTGGAAATCAATACGGTGATTCCTCATAAAACTAGAATTAGTGGTCCCATTTGACCCAGTTATTCCCCTTCTGAGTATCTTCCCAGAATTAAAAGCAACATACCACAGTGACATGCGTGCACTCATGTTTATGACTGCACAGTTTGTAATAGCTAAATCTTGGAAGCAACCCGAATACCCATCAACCAATGAATGGATAAAAAAGATGTGACTTTTTTATATAATGGAGTATTATTCAGCCACAAAGCAAGAAAAATTTGAAACATTTATAGCTAAATGGATGGACCTTAAGACCATAATCATAAGTGAAATAAATTGGACACACATGTAAATATCGTGTTATCTCTCTGGTGTGAGAAACTGAAAGTGTAAATAAGAACATAATGTACAATAGATATTGTGAAATAAGAAGAAACTGTTCAAAAGGAAAAGGGAAATAGGGAGGAGGGAGGGGAAAGAAAGTAAGGGAAAGAAAAAGTAAGAAAAGAAGGATACAATGAAAAATGGGATGGGAGGGGGTATTGAAAAGAGGGGATGGGAATGGGGAAAAAAAAGAAGAATCAAGATATATCACATACAGATACAAATCCCAGATAATGAATGTGGTTATTATGTATACCTAAATTGTACCAATAGCCTTAAAAAAAAAAACCTTTTCTGAGCTGAAGTTAAAACAAACAGGAGAGTTTATGTAAAAATCTGACTTCCAGTTCCTACTAAAAAATCAGCAGATCTGTCAAGTGGGTCTGAACTCCTGAAAGGGAACAATCAATTAGTTCTAAGTAGCAACTGTCCGCTATTGATTTCTGCAATTCTTTACTTTGGCTACAGTTCCCATCAATCCCTACCATTTTCCTGACACTAAGGCCAAATAAATGCAGTTGTTTTTACTAATTTCTTCTCTCTCAAACCTGGACCGTCCTCTTGTTTACATGGCCTGCCTTACCCTTGTCGCTGTTGTGAGGTAGCTTTTCTGACACACAGAGAAGTAAAGGCTACAAGAAGAGAGACTTGGAGTCAACAACCTACCATGACTTCTGGGATTTCAGAGTGGCCCATGAACACCCTGAGCCTCAGACTGTTATGTGGAAATGATAAACGCTTTGGGAACTCTTAAACAAGGTAGTCCATGACACTTGCTGCAGTAGGTGTTAAAACAACTCCAAACCACTCTTTAAAAAACATTTCTTAAAGAAATGTTGCCCTTACTAGCAACCCACAGAGGAGGCTTTAAGTGACAATGGACATATAACCTCTCATATCCATCCTCACAGCTAACCTTTCTCATCACTTACACCCTTTCCGAGCTCCCTCCCTTCCTATTTCATACTCTTTCTAGCCAAGAGACATGTAATTACACTTTTAGACCATTTCCAACGTTTCTGTAAGTACACAGCAACACAATACATAATGGAACAAGCGTGCAAGATAGGCAAAGGCTCCTTTCACACAGCTGCTCACGGTGCCCTCCCTCCTCACAGAGAAAGGAGACCCATGTGCCTCCCGGTATTGTGGATCTTTCCAGTTTTACTCCTGTGTCAAAGCCCTGCAACAGTTAATAGCGTGGCATTGCCTGTCAGAGCTGAATAATTTCTTTATCCACTTAACTAACTTTTTATAATCAGAACTCTAAAACTAAGGTCTACCTTCTCAATTTTTTACATGCCTAATAACAGCATTGTTAATTCTAGGCACAATGTAGTCCAGTAGATCTCATCGAACTTATTTATCTTGTATATCTGAAACTTTTTACTAGTTAAATGGCATTTCCTCATTTTTCCCTACTCCCAGACCCTGGAAAGTACTATTTTTCGGTGAGTTTACTATTTTAGAGACCTCATATAGCTGGAAACAGTTTGTCTTATGATTGGCTTATTTCAGTCAGCATAACATCCCTCAGGTTCATCCATGTTGTTCTAAAGGGTGGGATTTCCTTTTAAGGACAAATACTGTCCCACTGTATGTGTACATCACATTTTCTTTATTCATTCATCAATGGATACTTAGGTTGATTCTATATCTTGGCATTGTGAATAGTGCTGTAATGAACACAGGTCTACAAATACCCCTGGGGATCTGGCTTTCAGTTCTTTTCGAGTTATACTCAGAAGTAGGGTTACTATCATATGGTAGTTCTATTTTTAATTTTTTGAGGAACTTCCTTGCTGTCTTTTATAGTAGTAGCTACACATATGATGGTCCAACCAAAAGTATGTATGTTCCCCATGTAACCATCCCCCAAGACGATTGTAAACTACATGAACTGCAAATATGTACAAATAAAATTAAATTGAAAAATTTTAAAAAGTATGTCTGTTCCGGTTTTTGCACATCCTCACTAACATTTACTCTCTTCATAATTATTCTTACTGGTATGATGTGATTCTCTCATTGGGATTTTGATTTGCATTTCTCTAATTACTAGTGATATTGAGTATCTTTGCATATACCTGTTAGCCATTTGTTTGTTTTCTTTAGAGACATATTATACCCAAACCCCTTGCCTATTTTATTTTTATCTTCTCACTACTGAGGAGTTCTTTACACATTTAGACTCTAACTCCTTATCAGATATATGGATTGCAAACATTTTCTTCCATTCTGAGGTTATGTTTTTGCTCTATTGATCACTTCCTTTTCTGTGCAGAAGCTTCTAGTATGATAGGTACTGCTTGTCTACTTTTGCTTTTGTTGTTTGTGCTTTTGGTGTCATAGCCAAAAAACCATTGCCTAGACAAATGTCATAAAAATTTACCCATAAGTTTTCTTTTAGGAGTTTTACAGTTTCAGGTTTTGTACTGGAATCCTTAAGCCCTTTAGAGTCTATTCTTATGTAGGGTGTAAGACAGGATTTACTTCCTTGTTCTGCATGTGCTGTCAGATTTTCACAGAACTGTTTTAAGAGCCTCTCCTTTCTCAGCTCTGTGTTTTGGCCTCCTTACTGAAGCTGAGTTGACCATATATGTGTAACATGGACCAGATAGACCAATGGACCAGAAGCTCTCTATCCTGGCTCA